GTACTGGCAGAATAGATGGCTTTAGTAACCTGTAACAGAAAGAAAAGGCTCCGGCGGTGGTTCTTCCACCCGGGGGCACTCCGACGATCAAGTCAGTATATCTCTCAAAGATAATCAAGTGCTAAACTTAATACTCAAAACATAAATTGCATACCTTAGACCCACGGGGGTGCCTCTCTTTTATAATATACTCAATCCAAGTCCTACTAGAAGTATGACTTCTATGAACTCCAATTTAGTGCTTACTTTGGACTCTTTAAGAGATAAAGATAAACTCCCTAAGAGTTTTATCCTTATCTTGGTTAAGTCCCCTCTTCGTCTTAGGACTCTTGTCCCTTATTCGCTTATCTCGGATTCCGATATCTTCGGAGTTAACCTCGGCCTCGCCGAGATCATCTCGGCGTCACGACCAGGACACGTGGCACCTCGGCTGATACGTCGGCGTCACCATGCCACGTGTTGGTTTTCAGAAAATATATCCCCACACAAACTTTAATATAATATAAAAAAGAAAAAAAAAAGACATTTAAAAATCATAATTCATATATATATATAAATATAAACACAATCTGTGTATAGCACGGATGATATACTAATTTATATAATGAGAGTAGCACCACTAAAACAGCAAATGAAAAATGCTTGGGACCTCTAATTTAGAGGTACCACTAGTGATGATCCACTAGGGCTGAGCAAGTGATCCGTGAAATCCGTAATCCAATCTAGTCCAGTCTAGTCCAATCCGATAGGTTTGGATTGATTTTTTGAATCCGTGGTTCGGTTCCGGATTGAAGAATTAAAAATCCGTAGTCTACGGATTGGTTCCGGATTAAACCCCACGGTTCCGGATTGGAACCGATCCGAACCATGTACAAATAGTCTATATTTTTATTATACATCCTCCCCCATAGTATTTTCTCTTAATTCTATATAAAATCTAAACTCAACCCTAAAACCGTATAATATCTTCTTTTATTACTCTTGTTTGTTGGTTTTTAGTTTTAATTTGTAATGATTTAAATACCTATAGTGAAACCAATTTTCTTATGGTTGTTTAAATTTTAGAACAGTATGTCGCTATTATAGAAAAATATGTTGCTATTGTGGAACTAATATAGCGCTATGTTTATATTTTTATAAAATTAAAGTATTATAAATATATTTTGGTTATTTAATTATGTGAATTGTGGTCCTAAACCGATCCAATCCGTATTTAAATGGATTGGTTCGGATTGGTTCCATGATTTAAACGAATTGGATTGGTTCCAATATTTTAGGAACCGTAGAAAACGGATTGATCCTGATTTTATCCCAATTCAATTCAATCCAGACCATGCTCACCCCTATGATCCACTGCCACTATCAATCATGTGTCTTGATTTTTTATTTTTGGGCAAATTACATATACACCCCTCCAGGTTTGGTTAAATTACAGATACCCCCTGAGGTTTCGGAAATTACATCCCGCCCCTGAGGTTTGTATTTTCATAACAATTTACCCCCTGAGGTTTATATTTCATAACAAATTACCCCCTAATTTCTTATGCAAATATAGCATTCAGGGGGGAATTCGTAATTTCTCAAACCTCAGGGGGTATCTGTAATTTTGTCAAACCTGGAGAGGTGTATATGTAATTTGCCCTTTATTTTTTCTTTTTTCTTTTTCGCCTCATTAAAAATGTGTTTAGAGGTATGTTTTTAGGGATCTTCCGCAATGTTGAACAGCAAATTGTACAACTTACTCAAGGGAGGGAGTGACGATGATTGCTCATCACAAAAAAAAAAAAAAAAAAAAAAAAAAAAAAAAAAAAAAAAAAAAAAAAAAAATGAAAAAGGAAAAATCAACGCAGACTTTCAAGATTGTTCTCGTTACTGAGAATAACGATAAGGTTTCTCTTCTACAAGCTTTCTCTCATCCCTTTCATTTTATTGTCTTTCACTTTCCCACACACTCGCGACGCGAGTCTCTTTAACTCCATTCATACTCTTCCAAACCCAAGAAATTATCAAATTGTTTACTTTTCTTTCATATACTCTTCTTCTACAATCTATGCTCCGTTTCTTCAACAATTCCAATGGCTGATGCTTCTGCAACACCCCTACATGTGAAACAAGACAATGAAGAAGAAGAACAAGATCAAGAAAAGTCCAAAACCCAGAAGCGAATTTGCGATTTCTGTGGAGAATCTAAAGCTCTATTGTACTGCAGAGCCGACTCTGCAAAGCTCTGTTTCTCTTGTGACCAACAAGTCCACTCCACCAATCAGCTCTTCACAAAACACACTCGCTCTCTGCTCTGCGACTCATGTGATTCCACCCCTGCCTCCATCCTCTGTTCCAGTGAGAACTTGGTTCTCTGCCAGAACTGTGATTGGGAAATACACAGTAAATCTCTATCCTCGATTCACCAACGAAGGCCTCTGGAGGGCTTCCATGGGTGTCCTTCTGTGAATGAGCTGTTGAGTGTTCTTGGGTTTGAAGATTCTAGCAAGAAAGATCTGTTTTGTGATGATGATTTGGTTGATGGGTGTGGGGGTTTTGGGAAGGAGGGTTTGGGTGATGATGGGTTTTCAGATTTGTTGGTTTGGGAAACTCCTTGTATTGTGAGTATTGATGATTTGATTGTTTCTAATAGCTCTCAACATTGCTTTCAAGCTATGGGGGTTCCTCCTCTTCCTAAGGTTAGTATTTATTACTCTTTCTTTACTGATTGGTTCTTTTTGTTGTTTACTGTTGATTCATGATGGGTTGTGTGTATTTCAACAACACTTTGTATAACCCTAATTCTATATATAGCATATATAGTTTGTGGGTAGCTAATATGGCTATCTATGTATCTGGCTTGTAATTCTTTCGGATCCTAGCGAAACCATAGCGACTATGTAAATCTTGTGTTGTTGTTTGTATCTGTGATTTATATAATTATTGTTTATGGGCGATCCCAAGCGGTTAGGGGTTTTGCAATTCCTAACAATTAATTCATTTTTAGGACCTGTTTGGCATGGTGGTTTTTTGTTGCCTCTTGAATTTCACGTCTTTCCATACTGTAGAAACATGTGGTTTTTGACAATTGGTTGCTTTGATTTTTGGTATGTTAATTCGAGGGATTTTTACATACTTTTGGGAGGTGTTGATGGTGAATTCAGTTTTTGTTCAAACTAGTTTTAGATTTTTTTACAGCTAGGTATCATGAAAAATCTTTCATGAAAATAATCATGAAAGTTTTGTAGCCCTTGAATTATATTTAGAATAAAGCACCACACACTAATCAAGACAATCCAAAGATCATAAATTTTTCATAATCATTTTCATGACAAAATTTTCATGATCCCTAACTTTTTTTTCCATTTTTTTACTGTGGTTTCTTTTTTGTTGTTGGGATTTTTGGGGGCAAGCACAATTGCGTATGCACTAAAAAATATATTTTATTCTTGTTGAATTTCTTACACTTTCGCACCCTCACTTGAGGCTTTCTTTTAACACCCTCCTTTTCCCCACTTTTGGAGTTCTATCTCTTTCTTATAATTTCTTCGGTAATGATACCTCCCATAAACCATAAAAGTGGCTCTTTTTAGAGCACCACTAATGAGTTGACAAGCACTTTAAATAAAATAAAAAAATAAAAAAAACAAGACACAAGTAGTATCCACTGCCACATCACTAGTGGTGTTTTTAGAGCACCACTTTTGGTGGTCTCAAGTATTATTGTAATTTCTTACACAATTCAATTCAAAACACTTATGTATACATGCATTTGGGGAATTATAAGCACATTCTTTAATGCTAGTCAACCTACGCATACTAAACGACTTGCACTCACCTGTACTTTAAAAGACATTCATTCACCTAGAAACATATAGCATCTTCTATATGATTATAGACACTGTAATTATTCACTGTAAATTTCAAAGTACTTTTCCAAACTTTCATCTTGCCTCACATTTGATTAACTTTTTGTTCAATTACGCATCACTGTATTTATAGAAACACTTTTATGGGTGCATTCTTTAGCTTTTCAATGATTTGATCATATGATGATCTAATTGGAGAGTCCTATTAGCCAAAATAGTATATAATAGCCAAGTTCATTTATGTTTATTAATTATGAATTATATGATTCATCTCGGAAGTGAAATGTCTAATGTGTTTGTCACTTGTTGAATTTGCATTGGCTGTTGTACTTTTTAACTTAACTTCAGGATGTTGTTATTGAATTAGAATCGCAAAGCTGCTTGTGGGAAATACAATGAAGAAATACTTAGGCAGCTTCGCAAAATGGCAAAATCAGAATCCAACTTTGATGATTATGGTCATGGGGATGACATTGAACCCCTCATGCAGTTCCAATCTCCGGTACCTGAACAAGACCTGCAGCCAGGAAATATGTATGCTGGCTTTGAACACGGCACAGATCTAAGCACAGTTCCTCATTATGAGGTAAAGCTTCTTTCTCTTCAAATGTATCTAAATCGATTGCAATTTGATGCAAATATCAAGTTTTTGCATTGTAGTATTCAGAGTTGATTAATAAGATTGACCGTTGTGTTTGTCCTCTCCCTCCCCATCTGCATCACATGGCCTTTTGAGGTTTCCATTCCTTTACATCTACTTATTTAGACTTCTTATTGGCTTTGTATGCCATTTCGATGCTGCTTTATATTGACTTGTTCATTTTAGGACATGGACAACGGGGGATAACGACCCTGCCCCTAAATCCTTCTCACCCCCTACCCTGAGCAATAATAAATAAATAAAGTGGCTAAAATAGGCCGAAGGTAAACCATCTTAACGGCCCAAGGTGGACAAAACATAACAGAAGGGCTATATTGAACTAATTTAGAAAGTTAAAAGGACTGAGTGAAAATTTAGCTCTTGGACTTAATTGAATAGGCTGTAAAATTCATGGACTTAAAGCATAATTTACTCAGCTTTATTTTTGTGTTGTGCAAGCAATTGATTAGTGATCTCGGTGTGGCATGTTCCCCAGAGATAGTTTTATTTGTTTGGACTGCGAGTCTTGCTTAGTTCGTTATGAAAATGATGTTTTTTTAAAAAGGTTTAGCAGAAAGAAATGTTTAAACAAACTATCATGTTGCCTTCCATGTAGGCTAGTGCATTGTGGTGCAGCGATAATGTTGAGCTTGCAAATCAAGGTCTTCGTCCCTCTAAGTTACAAGCAAGCTACATTGAGGAAAGCTGTTTGGTTCCTGAGAAAGATTCAGATATCGGTGGCAGTGCAAGTCATGCTAATTGTGGTCATGAAGTGGAGTCGCAACATCACGTTACTGAAGCTTTGCATGTCCTTCCTAAAGTTACTATACGGGAGTTAACAAGTCAGGAGCGTGACTTTGCAATTTCACGGTATAAGGAGAAGAAGAAAACTAGAAGGTATCTATTGTGCGCTGCTTTTTTCTTGATGATGTCTCTGAAATTTAAGCCTAAAAGATAGTTGCGACAATTAGCCATTTCAAAATTTCCTAAAAAACTTCTAGGTTCTATCTATTTTCTGTTTTTAATTAAGAATTCTTGAGATATTTTCTTATTGAAACTTCATTTAAAATTATAATAGATCCAGAATAGGTATGACTAGTAAATCTTTTTTTATGCCATTCCTCAAGTCGCATAAGTTTTGATCTCGTAGATTTTGACTCATTCTCTCGTTGAGCATGGGATACTAAATAAATTAGATTGATTTTTCGGTCTAAAGTATTATGCAAAATCTTCGATTTTTCTTTTTGTCTCTATCCCTATCTCATAGGTACGGTGTTTGAATGAAGAAAACCTTTTCTTCTGTATGAATCAATATTGTTTCATTCCAATTCCTTAGTAAATTTATTCTGTTAGTATAATGTTAAATTAGTTAACGAAAGTTGTCATTTGACCCTCACATGATATGCATTTTAGGGGTAAAATTATAATTTTCTTTTTGTCTTCTTCTACCCTATTTCTCCGGTCTATTTTCTCTCTCGTATTTTTTTAAATCCATCACCAGTGATCAACCCTTCATGGCCACTCCCCTACCATTTTTTCGAAGAGAGGTTGCAGGAAAAGGGTGGGGGGTGGAAATAGTGGGGAAGGGTTGTGGTGTTGATGAGTTTAGGATATACAGTAGAAAGAGAAAATACAGTCGAGAAATAGAGAAAAAAAGAAGAAATTGGAAGAAAAATTACATTTTTACCCAAAAAATGTCTTATATGTGAGAGTCATCGGTTGACAAAAGAACCGCACTGCAACTTTAACGGAAATGGAAAAAGGTTGAATATTACAATTAAGTGACCAAAGGTGAGATTCGATATAACGAATGCAAAGTATAATTTAGCTTTTGTATAGCACAAGTTATAATCTTGTTTTCTCTTTGAGCTGAGAAATTTTTTTCTTTTTCTTTTTGGCAAAAAAAACAGGTACGATAAGCACGTCCGATATGAATCACGAAGGATTCGAGCAGAAAAAAGGACAAGAATCAAGGGACGTTTTGCAAAGATCGAACACTGAAATATTAGTATGGAGTAATGACATCAATTATATATACTTTTTTGTTTCTTGTGAAAGCAAAAATATATATTTTTCCAAGAAGGTTAATTAAATAATTATTTTCTGAGGCGGCGACATCTTGGAAAATACTTAGGTTTCATGTTCAAGCAAAATAGTATGAAATTAGGGATTATATGTAGCAGTTTTAATTTCGGCGAGACAATCAAACGTGCCCTTAATGTATTAATGACATTGTCTATGAATGTTGAGTATATTAAATTTCTATGGGAAAAATGTAAGTAATTTTTTTTGTTTCCCAATGAGGATTATTAATCCATCATTTGGATATTGCTTGAAATGGTTTTCTTCTATTATGAAGTACATGTACTTTCTTTCTCATGGCCATCAATTCAAATTATATATCATGTTGTTTGATTTAGTTTTTGAAAATTGTTTTTGAGTTTTTTTTTTTGTTTCCTCCTTCTTTTGTCTAGTAAATTTTTTAGTATTTTAATTTTTATTTTTTAGGTACACCTCAAGTTCGAATTTGAATTTGAGAGAAGTATAACCCGTTTGGAGTAATTACAAGTTGATTCTGTGTATGGGATTTTATCAAAAAATCATACTTCAATTTTCAATGATAAATTTATCATTGCAAAAATATATATTTTTAAAATTACAATTCAACTACTTATAATTTTACATCATATATTTCAATTCAAACTAGCATAAATAAAGTAAAATTAAATTAAAATTTACAAATAAAAATTAAAATTTAAATGCTTCGATAATTTATTAGTTTGATAAATTTCTCAATATTATTACTAATAGCAAATGATCATTTCACAAATACACATGATTTTTAAAAAATTCATTATCAAAATACGTGTCTAAAAAAATTACTTAGAACTTATGGGTAAATAATCTATTTAATAAGACATACTGATAATTATCCTAAAATATTCTACCATTGAATTGCAGGGGAAATCTATTTAATAGCATTTCTGTGATTTGTTTCTAAAAAACTATTTGCTACACAAAAGTGAAAATAAGTAAATTTATTACGAAGACAAATAATCCTTTTTTTTTTTTTTTTGAGAAACCAAGAAATCTGATTTTATGAGATCAAAAAATCCTAACCCACCCATAACTACCACCTCTATTTTTATTTTATTTTTTTGTCTTTATAAATTCAAGATTTAAATACAATTACATTGTCTATATCTATGTACAATATCACAATATTGATGATATAAAACCTATAAAATTAATACAATTATAATACATAACATAATAAATAAAAAATATATTGTATAAATGTATAATTAAGATAAATTATAAATATATTTCATAAGATTTAATTAAAATATAAATTACTTCATGTAATTCTGACAATAAAATATTTATAATTTTTTTAAATATAAAATAATTCATATTTTAAACCAATCTCAAAAAAATTATTTATAATTTACTCATATAATTATTATAATATTATTGTGAATTTTGCAATCTAGATGGCATGACTTTTGGTGGTGTACAATTCAAAGTCATATATCACTATTGGGTGAGAGCTTCCACCCAATTGCAAAAGGAGAGGTTATTCAGTGATCCTGCCACACGGTTAGGTGGTGCCCAAAGGAGGTCATGATTGGTAAAGGGGTGAAGGGGCGAAGTCTATAATTTTGTGTTAGAATAATTTTGTGTTAGAAGGTTACAATGCAGAAGGCATGACAATTAGTAGTCTTGTTTGTTATCCATTTTGTTTTTAATTTTTAGCTTATATTTACAAAAATTTTAAAAATTATCATAAAAACTTATTTAATAATTTTTTTTATTTATAAATTATTGGTATTAGTTTATAAATTTGACCACAAATTATAAAATAAGTTTACGTTGGTTGCTAAACGGAAAATGAAAGTAGAAAAAACGCGGAGGAACAGCATTTGGAAGGGTGCGTAAGTTGGTTTCATACTCAAAACTGTGTAGAAGTAATTTTCAAGTTCTCAAAATACAACAGTAATATCAAAAGTTATCTCTCTCTTGCTATCTGTGTTTCACCGAGAGCTTGAAGATCAGGTCAGTCTCTCTCTCTCTCTCTTTTCTCTCTCTCTCTCTGTCTCTCTCTCTGTGTCTCACCGACAACTTCCATGGATTTTTCTTCTCTTTTTTTTTTTTAAAAACAACATATTTGTTGTAGATCTGTAGAGGTTTTGTAAATTTCTCAACTGAATCGATCTCAGGTCAGTCTCTCTCCCTCTCTCTCTCTGTCTATCTTTCTTTTCTTCTATCTTCTCTCTCTCTTTCTCTCTGTCTCTCTCTCACCGAGAGATTCTATGGATTTTTTTTTTAAACAACAAATCTGTTGCAAATCTGTAGAATTGTTGCAAATTTCTCAATTAAATCGATCTTAGGTCAATCTCTCTCACTCACTCTCTCTCTCACACACACACACCGAGAACTTCCATTGTTAAACAGAGCTGTTGCAAACAACATAGAGTGTATTTATTTATTTATTTATAAATAATGCTAGTGGTTCCTTGTGGATCTATTGTAAATCTGTTGTGCTTCCATTATAGATCTGTTGTTTTTTTTTTTTTGGGCAAATTACAAACATCCCCCTTGAGGTTTGATGAACATACAGATTCCCCCTGAGGTTTGAGAAATTACATCCCACCCCCTGAGGTTTATATTTCCATAACAAGTTGCCCCCTGAAGTTTTTATTTTCATACAGATTCCCCCCTAATTTCTCCTAATTTGTTATGAAAATTTGACCCTCAGGGGGCAATTTGTAATTTCTCAAACCTCAAGGGGAATCTGTATTTTTACCAAACCTCGAGGGGGTGTTTGTAATTTGCCCTTTTTTTTTTTTTGGAACATTATATTTGTTGGGAGGGTGGACTATAGGTCTTCTCGTATTTTTGGTGAGGTTATGTTTGTTGGGGTTTTATGGTTTGTAGAAGAAATTAGATATTATTATTATGGTTTGTATGTTAGTTGTTATGAAAATTACTAATATGGTTATTAAATTTATCTATGGTTGGTATTGTATCAATATAGTTATTATGGATGCTTATTATAATGTGTATCATTGTCATAAATAATAAAAAAAATAAATATAAATATTTTAGGCCTTAACAAACATGTTTTTTAGTTTATGTTTTTAAATTTTTTTAAATATTTTATCCAAACCAAACACGTTTGTAGTTTATGTTTTTCTAAAAATAAATAAAAATCAATTTATAAAATTTTTGTAAATATAAACAAAAAAACGTAAACGTTACAAATGCTAGTGTTTGAGATTGAAAAAGTATAATAAATAAAAAGGTAAATTATAAATGAATTTTTTGAGGTTTGATTAAAATACGAATTGTTCTTGTTGTTTTAGAAATACATTCAAAGTTTCTGGGTTCGTTTGGTTTGTATTTCTGAAAAAATTTTGGGAAATTTTCTCTACAAATAAGTTTTTAAAAGTAATCAAACCAAACAAATTTTCCTAAAAAAATTTCTCAAAACTTGTAAACCAAACAAGTTTTCCAAACAAATCTCTCTCTCACACACATCAAATCAATCACTTTTTCCAAAACTCTATCTCAAAATAATTTTCCAAAACATCTTTTGAAAAAAATCAAACCAAACAACTTTTCGTACTTTTTATCTCTAAAACACATCTCTCAAACACAAACCAAATTTTCATAACAAATCATTCCTTTTATTAATAATCATCAAATCAATTAAAAGTTTTTAATGATGCTAGAAATGTGTTTCAATTAATAATTTAGGTAATTTTATTATTGTATAGAAAAGTAATTATGAATTTTATTTTTTTGATTAATTCTGTTAAATAAAAAAATTTAACAATAGAATATTTTTAATTTTTCAAACCACAAAGAAGAATATGCACTTTAAGCAAGTCTCATAAGTGTAATTATAATTGATCCTAAACAAAAAAACAAAAATAGAAGTTTGAAATAAAATTTACTGAAAAGATTAAAAAGGAAAAAAGAAAAAAAGAACGTACTAGTTTTTATTTTTTATTTTTTTGTCTTTAATAGAGTAGATTTTTACCTTTCAGATTCTTCTACAATAAACGGACTGAAAAAGCGAAAAAACTTGACACAAATTTTTTAAAAAATTAGTAACAGGAACACGAGACACCCTTGTAACACCGAATAATTTTTTGAAGTCAAGTCTTCCCCAAGTCCAGCCCTCATATCATATCTGCGGTGTTAACTGGTCTGGGGTGGAGATTTGTTGTGGACTCCTATTCTTAGTCAAATATTTTAAATTTTGTATCAAACTTTTTTCTTTTAAGGTTTTAAAATTTATTAAAAATAAAAAATAAATTAATTCTAAATTATAATGTCGTAAATTATCCATAAAATAATTTTAAAAAAAAAAACAGGTTAGTTAGACTTTATAGCCACATAATATCACTTTTTTTTTTTTACAAAAATAAACAACGAATATAATTTTAATTTTAGACGTTGATCATCCAATTGTAAATATGTAATTAACTTAATTTTTTTTTTAAATATTCTAATTTACAATATCAACAATTTAAATTATCAAAATAAATTTAATATCAGGGATAGCAAACTGATCATCCCTAAAGGGTTGGTTGTTTAAGTCACAACAGTCCTATTGACACGTCAAAGAAACCATTGATCCAAAAATTTAAGTTCATCCAACGGCAACAATTACAAGATTGATCACATTTGTCTTAATCATACACCTTTACTTTAAAAAAATTAATAATAAATATAATTTGATAATTAACAATCTATTTTTTAACACAAATATAAAATCAAATAGTTACTAATATCTCATAAACTTGATTTTACATAAAATTATTTTGTTATTTATTAATAACATTTAAAAATTTGTCACTAAAGGTCCTTATTGGAGTGTTCAAGATAGAATTTTAATGATGATTTGGAACGATAAGAATTTGTCTCTCAATATTTTTTATAACAAAATTTTACTTTTAGAGATGAATCTGGTAATTTTTATTTTTTTTTTAAATCTATCCATGCATTATTTATCTATATTTCTTGTATTTTGACAATCTTTTTGTCTCTCTTTTTCCACGCAATCTCTGAAACAACTGGTTCTTAAATTACTGTACATCTGAACTCATAGTGACTTGAGATACAATTCTTAAAAAGCATAAGCATATGCATATGAAAACTTGAAATAACCACTTATAGATCAATATAAAGCCTATGATGATAGTTTATACTTATTGAAACAAAATTGTACAATTAAATTAAATTGCACTCTAAATGAAAAAAAT